TATATATATATATATTTTTTTTTGTGACCGGTAAGGGAATCGCAACCCTTGGCTTGTTGTCGTCTGCACTGCGCTCAGCCAGTGAGCGTACGAGCCATCCCTATATAGGATCCGAACCCGCGGCGAGAGCACCACCGTGCACCCAAGCGCCGCACTCTCCCGAGTGCGCCACGGGGCCAGCTAATTTAGGTCACATTAAGTAATGCCTGTGGGTAAAAGGAATATTCTCCTAGCATAAGGTCCCCAACCAAGGTCCATGGACTCCTGACTTCAGGGGTCCAGAACTCACTGATGTGATACATAAAATGTTGTGATTAGGCCTATGCTATGGTTCTAGGGGGCAGGTCCATTGCTTTCAACATATTCCTGAGAGCTACTTTCCAGGGCTATCCTTGAGTTTTTTTAGTCCCATGATAATACTGTCTCATATTTCATTCTTGTAATTAATTTCATTTATATGCCTAATGTTATGAGCTGAGAGAAACTTAAAAATCATTGTGCCCAGAGTTTTCCAAAGTGTGTTCTGCAGACCATCTAGATCAGAATCATGTGGGATGCATGTAAAAAGCAGTGATCCCTAGGCCCCACACCAGGCCAGATGAATAGAATTCTGTGGAGGTAGGGCACAGGAATCTGCATTTTAAACTTACCAACTCAATCCTTAGGCATTCTGGCAGAACCAAGGAGAAAATAAACCGTTTTTTTTTTTTTCTAAAGGATTAATAGTAACTAACACTAAGCACTTACTACCTATCAGGTGCTGTTCTAAATATATGTGGATCAATGATTTAAATAGGTATAAAAATCATATGAGTATATTATTCAATGTGGAAAATTGGAGCACAGAGAGTTTAAATAAGTAGACCAAAGACACACGGAAAGTGGTGAAATGGGAATTTTAACTCAATCGGGCTCCAGAGGCTAAGCTCCTAATTGCTACCCGATATTGTCTTTCTTTTTTTTTTTTTTCCCCTTTTTGTCTTTTTTCGTGTCCGGCAACGGATCGCAACCCTCAGTGTTGCGCCCGTACCGGACCGGGACCGGCAATGGGATCGCAAACCTCAGTGTTGCTCCCGCACCTCGCTCAGCCAGTGAGTGGCCGGTCTGTATGTGGGATCCGAACCCTCAGCGGGAGCGCCGCCGCGCTTCCCAAGCGGTGCACGGTAGCAGTGCGCCACCGGGCCGGCCCCCTATATTGTCTTTCTTAAGGCAAACATTTTGCTAGTTCCTCCAAGTTTTTGTGTTCTAGTTTAACAAATACTGATTATTACTATTTACTACCATTTGAAGCTTCACTTTGAAGCAAATCTAAAAATCATTGTTTTTTAAAAATGAGTATAAGCTGAATCAAGAAAATATATCATCTGGAATACATAACTAAAGTAACTATATCAAATTAAAAACTAATATAAGAAAATACACCTTAACACAAAACCACAGCTAGATAGGAAAAATAAGTTCTAGTGGTGTACAGTAGTGCTAGGCACCTATAACAGTAATTTATTGCATATCCTCAAATGACTAGATCAAATGTTGTTATCACAGAGAAATAATAAAGTTTATCTATGATGAATATAATTACCTTGATTTGATCACCATACATTGTATACATATATGGAAATATAACTCTGTACCCCATAAATATGTACAACCAATACATTTCAATTAAAAAATAAATTCCTTTTAAAAAAAACATTAATGGTAGTTGAAACAAAGAAATGAAAGGTGACCCTTTTATACATATTTTTCAAAGTTAAAGAAAAAAGAAAAATACACCTTAAACAAAATTAAATGTAAAATATAGTTTCACCTTTCCTGAATTATTTTGGTAATGTTAACTTGTATATTTTAACATATTACCTTAAAATTCTTTTATTTCATAGAACCAGCAAGAACAAATAAGCGACTCCAGCCACTTCTCAGCTATATCAAATACTTTCTGTGAGATATGTGAATACCATTATTCACGTTATCTAAGCTAGTTATTATCTTCAAGGTCACAAAAAGTAATTTTCCAGTCTGCCAAAAGCTTTGACCATTTGGTAGTTTTTAGAGGTCTGATAAGCAAATAAATCTTATTTCTACACAAAAATTAAAGGGTCACGTTTATCTTATTTAACTCCTTCATAGATAAGAGTACAGGTAAGAAACTGTGACTCAGAGAAATTGTCTAGCCCAAAGCCAGTCAGATAGAGGTAGAGGAAGTTACTGGGTCACTAATTTGATGTTTTCCTCTACTGTAATGTTTAATATTCTGTATTTTTCACAGCTGACCATAGTTTAATAGGCTGCCATAAAACTAACAGGTTGTTGCTTTGTATTGACGCTTAACACCAGTAATCTGCTTTATTGGAACTCTTATCTGTAAAGCTCTCCAGAGTTAAGAGTGCATCTCTATGAAAAGTGATTATAATGATTTATTATTCATGCATCAGGACAGTACTCAGCACATCTCAGTGCTTTTCAAATGTTTCTTAAATAAATACAAATTTTAAAATATGTAAATAGTAAACCCAGCAACTTCTTTTGCTGTTAACTCAGAGACAAGGCCATGTTTTATGTAGCTATTCCAAAATGATGAATTAATATTTATAAAGTGATTGTGAAGCCTCCAAAATAATATATTTAGAAGAATATATAACAGGCTTAATTTTTGCCACTTTCCTAAATGAAAGACTTTTCTTCCTTTAAAACATATTTTTTCTCACACTATATATGAGGTTACTTCAGGTACTTCACAAAGTTCAGGGAAAGATTCATATTATCTTTTAATTCATTTTCCCATGAACTTTTTAAAGTATCCTCATATATTTTGCAGGGATTGGACACCGAACACCAAGTACTTTCAACCTGTAACTTGTTTTTTGCCGTCCTCGATTTTCTATATCCCTTCATGTGCTCAATGCTCACCTTTCCTCACAAACTTAGGATATTGATTTCTTACTTATCTTTCTTACTTAGGTGATTACTGTACAACTGACAATGTTTTAAATGCTTTACATATATTAATTCACTTAATCCTTATAATAACCTAATGAAGGAGATACAGCTATTATGATCATTTTAGATAAAAAAACTGAGGAACAGAAAGATGAAGTAACTTGCCCAAAGTCACAGGAATTAACAGATGGAGCTGGGTTAGGAACCTAGATAGTGCTCTTAACCACTGTTATATGGCTTCTCCAATATAGGTATAAAATGCAGATAAAGACAATTAAACAGAGATCAACTAACTCAAAATCACCTCAGTAATTTAACTTCAAAACCTGTACTTTTTTTTACTATGTCAGAAAAGGAAGTATAGGATTGGACTCTGAAACCAGAAAGGCTGTTGAAATCCTGGCTTTGCCACTTAATAGCTATGTGATCTTGAGAAAGTTAACTTTTCTTTGCCGCAGTTTCCTCATCCTCAAAACGTAGATAATAGAATTTACCGCAAAGGGTTGTTGTAAGGAATGAGGCAATAAGTACAAATAAAGTGCTCAGAAAAGCACCTTAGTAAGCATTCGGTATTACTTTTATTTCCAACCTTCCTCTTTTATTTGTAACAAAAGAAAATAATTTGGCATGTGTGCTACTGAGGAAGCAGTTGCAAGCTAAAGGTTAAGACAATGAATGCTCATATTAAGTCAGTTTGGGTTCAAATATCAAGCAAGTCGCCTTCTGATAGTTAACCTCCAGAATTTCAGCATCCTTATCTGTGATAATGAGAGAACAGTAGCACCTCACAAAGTCATCGTAAGGATTAAATGAGGTGACGCACAACTGGTACATGGTAAACGTTTAACGAATATTAACCACTGATCATCTTTGCATCTCCAGCAGCTAGCACAATGTTTAATGAATAAAGTGACATAGTTAAAACTTCTTTTGTGGTTTCCTTTACTACTCCTCTCATTTTCTTCCCTGGCATCAACCTAAGTATTTTTTAGTTCACCATCTCAACATCTTCCCCCTACTACAAAAAGTAGAGTAACTGTAAAGAATAATAAATTTGTTACCACTTATCTAGTAGTAATCATACCAAATTTTTAGCAAAGGGAGTATGAGTACTAACAGCAACCACTGCAAGTCACTGGTACAGAAGGGGAAATGGAATTTCTACCTTATTTACCACATGAAGAACTATTAAAAAATATTTATAATTGATGTAATTAAGGCATATCTTTTCCTTTTTCTACTTTTTTTTTAAAACCTAACAAGAGCATCATTTTTCTACTTTTAACCAAAGTTCCTCTCCGTTCCTATGCTTTTACCACACAGAATGTAGGAAATCTATGTTAATGTTAAACCCTTTTATTAACAAATATCCTGCCCAAGAATTATAGTTAGGTAAGTGAAATATATGTCAGAACTATTTTATAGGCTATCTTACAAATAGGATAATTGCCAAAGGTGCATTCTTTTTATGTTTAAAGTTATGTGTTGTAAGTTTGATTAACGTTCAACTAGCTGTGTAATTTTCCTAGGCTAATATTTGACATAATATTGGAGAACTTTTTCAACACCACCTCTTTCCCAAGAACCCTCATATTGCTCACAGTTCTTAGTATGACCTTAATATAAACTAAAAGATAAATAAATTGAGCAATAACCCAAATTTTCCTGTTGACAATTTTTAGAATTTAAGGTTAGGTATTATATATTAATACAATCACTTTGGTTAAAAATGAAAATTTATTGATCTAAAATTATTGCCAAAAAACTTAAGCTAAGCACAAACTATTTAAGCTTAATGCTCTTTTTAACTCCCGCACGAATGCCAGATAATTCACCACTATAACGTTGCTCTTCTCTACGAACTTCACGAACCTGGCCTCTTCTGCGAATTTTGGCTCTTCTGAACTTCTCTCTGTGTTTCACCCTGGGATTGCGATCAATCTTCTTTCTCCTAGGAGTAAGTCCCCTATTTTTAGCAATCTGATAGGTAATGGCTCTCTTTGCATTTTGATCTTCAAGAGCCTGTTCTTCAGTGCTATTTTGTTCTTTCTTTCTCTTCAACTTTTGCCTGTCTTCGGTTTCTTTATAGTATTTCAGAGCAGCTTCTTCATCAAAATTGGAATCATCAGAAAGATTTGTAACAACAGAAGCAGCAGCAGAAGTCTCTGAAAGGGACTTTGGCTTGGCCTTGGTGGATTTTGCTTTTGGATTCAGTTCTTTCTTTACAGCATCATTCTTAAATGTGAGTAGATGACGAATTTCAGAGGACAGCTTCTCATCCACAACCGATAGCTTGTTGATCAAATTTCGGTAGGTAACAAGTCTTTCTATGACAGGATGTTCATGTGCAGGGACTCTCCTAGCTTTCAGGATCAAATAAAAGGTGATGTTGGAGCAATAGTTCAAGTAGAGGTTGTACTTGGTCCTCAAGTACTGGCTTCCTTTTCCGGGTGGAATGATCCCTTTCTCCACCAAATGTAACAATGGCTCCAGCTCATCCTTCACCTCTGTCAACTTGATTTTCAGATCTTCTATAAGCTCCAAGAGCTCTGGTGACTCCTTTCGCAACATCTTCAGCTTCTCTTTCACAGAAACTTTAGCCAAATCCTTCACGACCAGTGTCTCTGCCTCGGCTACCTGAGGCACCGGTTTTGCAAAGGCCTCTACCCAGGCGACCCCAAAATCATCCTCTTGCAGGGCTTGGGCTAGGCGCCGCTGAATGACCTGTGCTTCCTCCTCCTCCTCCCTTTCCTCCTCCTCGACTTCTTGTTGACTCTGCCGGCCTCGGGACTTGGAACCATAGTCCGTGTCATAGTAAAGTTTTTTCCTCTGACCCCACGACAAACTGGGATCCACAGAGGGCTCAGTCTCACTCTGCACAGAGCTCCCACCATCATCACCATCCTCATCGCCCGCACTCCCTCCATCTTCGTCGTCCTCATCGTCAATATCTAAGGCTAGCACCTCCTCCTCCTCCTCGCCCTCCTCCTCGTCTCCACTCTCTACTTCGCTCCAGCCCTTAGCCAAGGCGGCCCGGGATCGTGCCTCATGGAAATCATCTACCTGATCTTGGTAGTAGCTGGAGTCCCCTGGTGACGGTGGCAATCCTAAATCGTCCTCATTTTCGTCCTCGGACCTGCGACCTGCCTTGGCTCGCACAGCTGCCCACTTGGCCGCTCCGCGCCCCCGGGACCTTCCCACCATGACTCACACGCAGTCCCAGGCTCAACAGAGACGCCAGGTTTTAGGCCACCGCCGACCTCCGCGCTCGAAACTCACGCTCCAACAACACGCCGCTTTAAACAGCCGCGCGCTCCGGTACCAACCGAATATGGAGGCGCCGGGGTTGGCTGCAGGAGTTCACCTCCTTCCGGTCCCCAGGATGCTCTCCGCGTGGCGTGTACACCAGAACTTCCGCTCCGTCCTATGGGCCTAGTCACGTTGATAGCGCCTTCTTTTATTTGTGCCCTTTAGCGCCAAACGATTCCGGAGAATTAAAATCTTTCCGTGTGGGAACAACAGTTCAAGAGTTTCCGTTCCGCAGAGCCCTTTCCGGAGACTTCTGTACTTTCGGGAGCCTGCCCTTGGCGCGGGGCGTGTGAATCCTGACGGCACCACTAGGCGAGGTCACGGGGGCCAGTAGAGGGCGCTGTACCTCTACTTCCAGGAGAGGTCCGAGCGGCGGTCCCGTGAGCTGTACCGCGCATGTGTCGCGCTCAGTTTTTTTGTTCTTTGGGTTTGTTTTCTCTTATCGGTGTGTAAGTTAATCGGTTGTTTTTATCTCGTTTTTTCCAAATGCCACATTTCTAAGCACCACAGCCTAAGGTGGCGGCGGCCCGGGACTCCAGAATGCTAACGTCAGCGTCCGGGCGAGAGCGCAGGCCGGGCCTCCGGGCCGAGCTTAGCTGATCCCCATCTCCCTCTCCCGGCCCGCAGGGCTCGGTGACCTACTCACGGGCGTTGGTAAATGCTAGGTGACCCTGAGGAGGGACGGTGGGAAGGCAGAGCCCCGCTGTAGGGTTTGACTCTACCCGAGGAACTCAGGTGGGATGCCGGGGTCGATTCTCTTGAGAAAGGGTAAGGCATCGCGGTTTCTCTTCTTTTTAGTGGAAGAGGTTCTTTGTTCGAGATGTTTGGGAAATAACACATTTTAACTCTCAGTGTCGAACCTTTGATTTGTTAATTCTTCAGCACTGAGTAAGCTCCAGACATATGTGCCAGGCAGCGTGTTTGGCTCTGGGAGAAAAATGGTGGGCAAAACAGACACTGTTCCCGCACTCGTGGAACTTGCGGGCTAGCTGGGGACGCGCGTTAACCAAGCAACTACCCAGAACGTCAGACTGTGGTTGGGATAAGCACTGTAAAAGCACACGCACACTGGTCCTGTGTTAGCCAGCCTGCGGCAGCTGCACACACTCAACATACCGTCTACTGCTCTTGTCTTTGCACACGTCATCTCCCTTCCTTAGAAAGGGTTTAGGGCTGGCTGGTTAGCTCAGCTCTTTAGAGGGCAGTGTTACAACACCAAAGTCAAGGGTTCAGATCCCCATACCGGCCAGTCGCCCCCCCCAAAAAAAAACAAACAAAAAACCCCAACTGTTTAGTTTCCCGCCCAAGCAGGGGAATTTCTACTGTATTCAAGAGACAGCCTAAGCATTGCCTCTTTGAACTCCTTCAGTTATCTTTTCCTCAGTTCTTTCATATCCCTTAATAGATCTGTAAAAACACTGGTACAGTGTGTGGCACAGATGTGTTCAATCAGTATTTGTTTAATGAATAAGATCTGAAATTAAAGTATGTGATTACCTGTCTATCTCAGGTGCTACATAAAACTGAGTGAGTGAATGATGCAGAAGACTGCAAACATCTCTAAGGGAGATAACCTAAGCTGGAATCAATTTCAGGAATCATTCATTCCATACATGTGGAGACAGAGACTTGGGAAATTACACTAGCAAATCTGGCACGGAAACCAGGGTCTGGACTTCCACACCAGGCTTTCACATTTAGTTCATGTTAGTCCTTTATCTCTTTAATGTGAATTTATTTCAAACCTATACAGAGGGTAGGTTTTGCTGAGTGGATGAAAAAACCAGGAGTAAAGAGGAACTCCTATTATTTAAGGAAGAGGGTGGTAATAAGGGAAGGGTTAGTCAAAGGTCTTTAGAATTATTATCAGGGATAGAAATATGAAAGGACTGCCCTGTAATCTTAGAGTAATTCAAGGTGTAAGATTTCAGACTTTACATATGTATGAAAGGTTCAGAGTTAATGACCTTTAAGTGTAGGTAGTTGGAAGCTGAACTTTTGATATGTTGCTAAAATTAATGGTGTCATACAATTTCTTTGCAGAAAGTATAGTGTAAATAGGTTAAGAAAAATAATACAAATGTTAGAAAAGTGATATTTTGAACTAAACAGTATTTACAGAGTGCTCAAACGTATCTTAAGCATTTTTAAACCTTTACAAGATTTTAGAAAATACAATTTAATGAATTAAAAAGATGTGGGTAAAAGTTTTATGTTCTGATGATAGCATGACATTCATTTTTGAATGTAAATTTTGACAGATTTTGTCAAATATTAACTGCTCACTATCTATAGCAGAATGCCACATTATGTAGTAGATAGAAAGGCAAATTAGCCAGTTGAGGAGCTTATTTATAATCATGTAGAAGAGAAGACACGCCACCAAGGAGCTTATTATCACATAGAAAAGAAAATACAATACAGATTACTAAAATATCGGGCAGTATGTGACATAAACCCAGTGCTGTAAGAGATCACCTCTAGATTGTTATTTTGGAAATATTGCTGAAAGAATGGTGTATCTAAGCTGGGACTGTATTATATCCTTACTTTACATGTATTAAATTTTCATTATATCTAAACATTAAGTTTCATTTAGGCACACAAAACAAATACCTATGTTCTGTTTGTTGTTTGTTGTCAGCATCTGGTCAGTACAGGGATCAGACCCTGGACCTTGGTGTTATTAGCACCATGCTGTAACCAAGTGAGCTAACCAGCCAGCTCCTCTGTTTGTTTTTATTGCAAATTATCTGAGAATTTATAGTCATACTTCAAGACCAAAATGCATATATTATTATAGATAAGTGAGAAAAAATATTTTGCCTATTTTAAATGGGAATGATCACATTCCTCCAAAGTTATTTAGTTACTTTATACAAAACCTTCCATTTCCTGTCTTTTAGAACAGAGTTGCAGTTTCCGATGCATATTCAGACAATATTGTATTCCAACATTCTCAGATCCTTTTGATAAAGAACAGTTTAGAAGTCAGTTCTGTGAGGGCCGGCCCGGTGGCGCACTGCTACAGTGCGCCGCTTGGGAGTGTGGCAGCGCTCCCACTGAGGGTTCGGATCCCACATACAGACCGGCCGCTCACTGGCTGAGCGAGGTGTGGGCGCAACACCGAGGGTTGCGATCCCGTTGCCGGTCCCGGTCCGGTACGGGCGCGACACTGAGGGTTGCGATCTGTTGCCGGTCACGAAAAAAGACAAAAAGGAAAAAAAAAAAGAAGTCAGTTCTGTGACTCCAGGAGCACCCTATGTAAACTTCCATAGTCTAATCTTAGAATTATTTACCATTTAGGTGAGGAAACTTTTTGTTGTTGAAAATTTGTATTTCTAAAAAAAATGGATAAATAGCTTTATTATGTCATAAGCTATGCCAATTAAAAAGAAAAACACCGAGTCCTCAGAGAAAATGAACAAATATTGAATAACACTTGACATTTAACTATCATACTTGTAGCAACCACAATTCATCATTAATTTGAATCTTTATTATATTTTTGTGATGTCTAGTTCAAGAGTTAGAAGGCTACACATAATGAGTGCCAACAGGCTTTTTTAAAGAATACTTTTTGCTTTAACTCTGAGCCTTTTGGGGGATTTTTCTGACTGTGGAAGGTAGGGTCTGTGAGTGACACATGAAGTGATACTAGATACTTCCTTCAGGGCATGTGTTCTGGATGTCGAAGGTATTCTAGCAGCAGATTAGCTTAATCTGATCTCTATTTCTTCCTGGACTATTGAAGCAATAATAATTAATAATAGCTGACATTATGAACAACTTTTATGTGCCAGGTACTGTTATAGGCTGTTGACATTCAACCTTACAAAAAAGGTACTATAATAATCTCTAATTTAGGGATGAGGAAGCTGAGGCATATAGAATTTAAATGAGGTCATAAGGTCATAAAGCTAGTGAGTAGTAGAATTGGATTCAAACCCAGATAGTCTACTTCCAGAATCCATGCTGTATCAACTAACTTCTGTACTATACTGACTTTCATATATTCCCTTAATAGATCTCCTCATTTTTAATGTACATTTGATCCAGTATAATCAAATATATCTTCCTAGAACACCATTTTCATCACCCCACCTTTTCATTCAAAAACTTTCAATGGCTCTCAATTATTATCAAGATAAAGTTCACATGGCCCTACTAAAGTCTTGCTGCGAAATAACCTTTCCAGGCAGACCTTTCATTACTCCGCTATGAAAACCTTCTGTTCTAACCTAAGTGCTCCACTACTCTTTATTCTCCAAACCTTGCTTTGCAGTTTCCTCCTCTGTCACTTTGCTTATCCTTTCAGTGTTCAAATAGTTATTTGTGTCAGAAATTTACAAATCATTACAGATAATTTTTTGGTTAAGAAATTCTCACACAGGTCCATAAGGGGGACTTTACTAGGCCGTTTGAAAAGTTATTTTTGGTAGAATGGAGTTGGAGACAAGCTGGATGTCCATTCCTGGAAGAACAGATCAGTAAAATGTCATGGGTGAACAGCATGGAATTTAGGAGCATAGGGGGACCATACATTCTGGTTTGCCCTGGACAGCCCTGTTTAACCTGTAATTATTATTATTATTACTTATTGAAACATAGCTGATTGTATATATCTGTGAAGTACCAATGTAATTATTAGAAGCACCTCTTTTCGCTGTCATGATTCACATGACAAATTTTATGATCATCTTAACTACACAGTAATGGGAAGCAGTGTATTATATTTCACATAGCAACATGAATGAATTTTAAAAACAATGTGCTAAAAGAAAAAGTTAAAAATAGAATGTGATATGTAATACAATATTCACATAAATTAAAAATGCATACACAACAATATAACAGTATGCATTCTGTAAAAACAAATACAAACAAAATAATATGCACTAAACACAAAAGAACAGTTGTTTATGGAGGGTGAAGAATGGGGATTGGAGATTAGAAGGAATAGGAGAGGAACTTTCCACAGACCGATGATGGTCATGTGCCAGGAACTGGGGAGAATAATAAACTGCATCTGAGATTCAATTAAAAAACAAACAAACAAAAAAATGACTATACCAGTTCCTAGCTTAAATTTCTTAAAAAGCATCCCAGTGTCTATGAGATCAAGTTCATATGCCTTATGGCCTGACTCCTGCATAGGTTTCAAACCTCCTTTCTTACCACACTCTCCCTGCTTTCACACACGAAGTAGCGTTGGCCCAATATATATATTGACTTGTGCAGGCTGTGCTTTTTTTTGCCTCCTTTCCATGGCACTTGTTGTTCTGTACTTTCTATTGAACTTTTATTCATCCTTTAAAACTAATTATAAATGAAAAAAGACTTTTACATCCTAAAAGACTTTCTTGGCCTCCTCAGGCAGGGTGAAGAACTTCCTCCTTTGCATTCCATAATATTTCATACATATCTTTATACTTACTGCTTTCCCTCCACTAAGTCTATGAGCCCCCATAAAGCTGAGTCCATGTAATCATTTTTAAAATCCCCAGAATCTAGGGCAGTACTTGAGTAAAGGAATAAAGTATATATCGCATCTCTCCTACTATCCTGTGTACTTTCTAGGGTTTTTTCTTTTTTTCTCTTTCTTTTAGCTAGCCTATATACTTTCTGAATATATGGACTAAGTAGTTTTAATTCATAAATCTCCACATTACTTAGTGTTCTGTTATGCAGGTAATAGGAAAAACATTTTGTCCTATCCAGGACAAAAAGAAAAATTTTTTCTTTTTCTTTTTGGACATGTAGTGAGA